CGTCGCACCCCACGTCGGTCCCGTGGTGACATGGCCATCGTTTTTTTGGCGATGTTTGGGATCTCTAGGCGCGGAGGCCAGGATGAGCCAGGTGAGATTATCTTCGTGTGCAGTTGGGGTTCTTTCTTGCAGGAGCTGAAGATGATCTATCTTCATGTGAGCACCTGTCAACTCTAGCAATGGCAAAGTGCAAAAACAAAGCCAATCGAAGCAGATCGAAGCCGCTTTGTGACTTCTCAGAATGAACATCAGATGACCTATTTATCACCCACGTTTCAGTGGGCCCAGAATGCCCTCCAAGGCAAAATACGCAGTGTGCTGTGGACAGAAGTTGGAAAGGCCAGCCTGATAATTGGACTTAATCTTCTTCAAAGGCAACATGTTGTTGGCGGGTGTGTATATACATACAATATCATATGATTATATATATAGGTGTGTTCTTTTCCTTTCTCAGGAAAAAAACACAAAAACACTGGACTGTTCAAAGAGATTTGTGATATGTGTCATTCTTCCAAAACACCCAGTGAGCCACAGTGAATCGACCCAAAACGGCGCACGGCGCCGAAACGGCTCCGGGGCAGCTCCGGAACTCTTTTTCAGCGCTCTGTGAGGGGCCTGAGACCGGAGCCCCGTGCTGCCGAGGGGCCAAAATGGCGGGGTTGTGTGGTGACCCCCTGGAAAACTCCCATGGTGGTGTACTGTTTGAAAAGGGATCCAAAGACAGGTGGGGCTGTTGAAACCTGGAGTGAAGCTGTCACAGGCAGGTAGACTCAGGTAGACCTGTTGATGATTCAGTTGATGTCCAGTCTTGCGGCTGGGCAGGATCTCTGTCTAGTCTAAACGCAGCAAATATATACATGCGTATAAGTGGATGGATGGGAAACTTGCCGCACTAAGATGCTTCAATTGTCGATTCTGAAAGTGAGCGCCAGTTCAGAATGAAACATGAATTGTGGAACTGAAGCATTGAAGCGACCCAACGATGCACACGTCTTAAATTTTGTCGACAGTCGTCCGAATCACCGAGGAGTTGCACTCAGCAAAACAAGCAAAAAACACACAGAGACACTCGTTTAACTACAAACTAGTAGCCCCATGCAATGCCAGAGGTCAATATGGCAAAATCACATGGAATCCCAAAGCTGCAGTCTTGTCAAGAAAAAACACAGGAGATTTTTTGTTGGAAGCATCCCTTACAGCAAACCAGGAAGCAATTGAACGTCAAGAAGAGTCTGCAAATCTATAATTATAGGTTCAAATGATCCAACATTGTCCGACAAACAATCTTAAATGGCGCTGAAGGCTTAAAGGCATGAAAAGCTTAAGACGCTTGAATAGCTTCCTGATGCCTCCAAAACTGTCAACGTAGTCCACTCCGAAAAACTCAAACACTGACCCCAACCACAGATTCGGTCCAATTCTATACACGCATGAAAAAGAATCATAAACAGAAATCAATCCCTATCGCCCCATCCATCCTCATGTGCTTCTTCGTCCCAGCGAGATCTTCCCTTTTCCGATCCCACCTGGGTCTTAAGGAGTCAATCCGCTCGCCACAGCGTGGGCAGGGCAACACCTGCGGTGGCCAAAAGCAAGTGGAATCTGCAGACTTGAAACATACCAGAACCAGGTGGTTATATATTGGATGTTTTTGGGTGGCCTCCGTGAGCTATACTACTATACCCTCACTCAGAGACCTCACCCGCGCCCGGCGTTATGAAACCCAGGACCTGCGACCGGTGGGAACACGCTGTCACATCTGAGGCTCCGGTCCAAAGATGGAGGCTCCCAGGCTACAGCGGCTACATAATGATCGAGCTTTCAAAAGCGCTTGGGTCGGCCCCACATGCTGGAGCCCTAGTAGCGTCCTTGCTCCTAGTAGTAAGGCCAGGAGCCCCTAGTAGCGTCCTTGGATGAACACAGGTCATGTCTCAGAACCCTTTCATCTTAGTTCTCCGGAGGGCTACAGTATACCTTTGGCATTCCTCTCTTCAACAAGTGAGCTACATGGCTTCCTAAGTGTCTGACCGTGCGAACCGAAAACATGCTTCGAACATCGCCTTCGAGTTCTCCATGAACTTGCTGGCCACACAGTAGTAGCAAAAGACCTCAGCCACTTCTAAGCGACACGACCGGCCTTTTCACTTCCCCAAAAGAGGTGGGCAAGCCATGGCTCGGCCCAATGAAAAAGTAACCTCTCCGACATGACGGAATCACAGGAATGAAGAGCTTCTTCCTGGGCATCAAATCACTTCATCACAGAATCGGTTGACACATGTTGAAAGTGAAAAATCTTGACGCATCATAAGCCTACCTTCATCTGGGCAAAAATAGATCGAATGTAGTTCTCTCCTCTCAATCTCCTAAGGGTCTAGCATGATTGCAGCTGGCTTGTGTGGGCAAGGTTGGCACCGAGCCACCTGGAATTTTTTGAGCAAGAAAAATTGGCTTTGGGGACCTATCCCTGAGCCGAAGAACGATCATATAATCTAGTCTAGCTTACCTATCCGTACTTCTCTTCCAGGCCAAACAGGTTTTTACAATGCCCACCACCTGCTGCATCTGCTACCGTGTCCATTTTGCTTTGCTGCCCCAACCAAACTCGCCAGGGCGACAGAAGCCACAGCTCGACCCCCCCGGCCACCGGCCAAGCCTAGAGCGGCTGCTCACGTCGACAGAGAAACAATGTGACATGTCATTAAGATTCGCAGCAGCGATATTTTTCGCTATTGTGGAGAAGCCTGAGAAGACCAGCAAATGGGGCCCTTCCGAAGAGCCTCTCCAAACCCAGGCAAAACGCAAGAAAAATACCATACAGTAGCCACAGCCTGTAAGACCAACCAATTCAAGGCATTGGCAGGCATGTTCAAACACGGCATGGTCGAAGGAATGCCACGAACCCTGCATGGTCATTCAGGGACATCAAAAGCAACGACTCCTCCCCAAACTTCCGGGCGACAGGGATGACAGGGTGTGTTCTGAGTCTAGACGGCCCAAAAAAGAATTGGCAAACGGACCATACCGGTGTTCAGTTCGTGGAAAGATGACTCCCCAGGGCTCGACTGCGACCCGCAGGTGCGATCCCGCGGGCTTTGAGCTTTGGCCAGGCACTATCAAATCTATCAATTGTACTTTCTCTTATGAAAAGAGCATGGAAACCTCAAAGACCCATTTCACCAAAGGCCTCAACTCCCTGAGTCAGTGTAGAAATATGTAGACATTATGTCCTCAAGTCGCACCCTGCCTTCCCGCCCATCCCAGCCATCCCAGGCCTTTGGAAGAAAGCGCCTGAAAGCATGTTTCGTTCCAAGAAAGTTATCATTCTAAGTTGACATCAAGAAAAGCATACAAGGTAGGTTGTATCGGCCGCAAAAGCAGCACCATGCGACCTTCCATGGGCATCCTTTGGCGAAGGATTCTCGGATGTGACCAACTAGTATAATACTCTGAATGCATTATACTAGCTGTGTATGTTGCCACGACAGAAAATGTGGACCGTGACGCTCCTGTGCAAGGGGGACATGTCGCGGCATCTCCTCAGCATTTCATTGACCGATTAAGGGTGTTATTTGTCTAAGGCTCAAGGGTGGGCCTAGAATCTTATGTGCTCTCGCATCTCGGCCCGCCCTTTTGTTTCTTGAAGGTCTGAGTATCCCTTGTTCATTCTTGAGACTGTTCACCTAAGACATCCCATATGTTGGGGCCAAGCTAAACCTTTGATCTGTCAATCCTCATGTTGCGTTTGAAAGTATATAGAGTCACCTCTCACCTTTGACATAAACAAAACAAATTGCAAACAGGGTTGTTCATGAAAGTACTTGAGGGACCATGAGGATATAATATGCCGGCTGACGGGGAGAAAAGCTTCTTTGGGGGGCCCATCCGTTATCAGCACTGTTGGACAAAAATAGGACCATGCACCTAGAAGTAAGAATGCTTCCCCGCATTCCCTTCGTGAATTTCGCTGTGCCCGTGTCCGAACCCCTTGTTTGAACACAGATCTCGGCCTAACAGATCGGCGCAAGCGAGAGAGGTTCATCAAGGGTAGGACCTGTCACGTGCGAATGGTCTTGCCGGTTGGGAGGACCCCATCAGGGTGGGGCTGAAGCAGAAATCTGTTTTGCTGCCTGGGAATGGAAGCTTCGACCACGACCTTTTCCGTAGCTGAACGTCATGTGGCCGAACAAAGCCACACTCAAAACAGCAGAGAGCCAGTTGCTTCCTGCTCTCCACATGGAACAGCGCCACTTGGCCAGGGCTAGCCTGGAAGCGCGCAGCATTCGAAACAAAAGACTAAAGTCAATTTGAAGCTTTTTGAGTAGTAGCGGACTTGTTGAACTCCTCCAACTGCTTCATCTGGGCGGCAACCCTCTCCTCTTTTGTGGGCGCTTTTTGAAGCTTCGCCCGAGTCATGTCCACCTCCTTGGCTGCTTTCGGGAACTGTGCTGCTTCAATGCGAGAGCGCGTCACGTAGTCAATTTCACC